GGCGATTGCCTTACCCGAACCGTGCACGCGTCAGTAAGACAGCGGATGAGAAAGGCGGGAAAAGAAAAACAAAAGCGCGCGAAAGGTGAAAGGGTGGCTATGGCAAAGCGTTGGTAATACAGGGGATGAAAAAGGCGGGAAGAGAAAAAAAACAAAGAAAGCGCGCGAAAGATGAGAAGGTGATAATTGACTACCCGAATCATGCAAACGCTGGTAAGACAGCGGATTAAGAAAGGCGAGACAAGGGGAAAAAAAGCGCGCCAAAAGGTGAAAAGGTGACGATTGGCTTACCCGAATTATGAAAGCATTGTTAAGACGAGACAAGGGGAAAAAAAGCGCGCCAAAAGGTGAAAGGGTGACGATTGGCTTACCCGAATTATGAAAGCATTGTTAAGACACCCTATACAAAGGCTGGAAAAAAAACAGAAAAAAACGCGCGAAAGGTGAAACGGTGGCAATTGTACAAAAAAAAAAAAAAAGGTCGGCAATTGCCTTCCACGAATTATGCAAGCTTCGGTAAGACAGCGGATGAAATAGGCGGGGCGAGCGAAAGGAGAGAAAGTGATGATTGCCTTATTCCCCAATCATGCAACCGTCGGTGAGACAGCGGATGAAAAAGGGCGGGAAAAGGAGGAAAAAAAAGAAGAGCGCGCGAAAGGTGAGAACTGAGTAGTAGAAGAAGAATTGAATTGAATTGAAATAGCGAGGCCGATCGCTATGCGTCCATGTCACAAAGATAAGCAAGAGAGCACCTTCACGGACTCGCGAGCTCAACGTGCAATGGCCAAATTGGTCTTTACACGCAATGGAAGCTTTGCAATTTTAGAACCAAGCGTGTACACACAGGTCAACCGCGCAGGCGTTCCTCTACAGTTTTTTTTTTTTTTTTTTTTTTTTTTAAAGGCCAGGTTGTTGTAGAGGCTGGGTTATAGAGATATGAGCCGGGTGCGCTCGGGTCTCATCAGGAGGCTTCGCCACATGCCCTTGCCTTTCGGCCCACCACACAGAACTTGAGTAGATGATGATTGCCTTACACCCAATCATGCAAGCGTTGGTAAGACAGCGGATG